TAAGCTGCTCAAGGCTATGATTCATTCATGGCTCTCTGCCAAAAAAATAAATACGTTCAAGACCAACGGCCTCAAGGGGAAAGGTAGGCCACTTTTTTAAAAAACAGAGATAAATGATTTACAGAACAGAATACAGTTTAAGATTTCAGCCTATATGGATGATGAGGAAGGACTTTCTTACGTCTCACAAAGATTTACTGCGCAGACTTGAATACTGGCAGCGTATCAACAGATGGAGTAAACTAGGAACTATTAAACTGGGATTTGCAAAACTCTCTCCAAAGAGCAAGAAATGACCCATTATATTGCTACACACAAAGAAAGTTCATAAAGCCAAATCAAGATATGTAATGGGTATTTCAGCCATGTAAGACAAACACGGCCAGTTCAGATTACAGGCAAACTGCAGTAAAGTAACACCTGTAAAGGGAGAGACCAATCCACTGGCAGCATGACAAACAGTTTAAAGGTTGGGAGGGTTTGACGCCATACAGCATCTGCTGCACATAAAAATGTTTAATTAGCTGCTGAACAGCAAGCAGTACATTCCTATTTTTTTTCTATGAGAACATTATTTCTTGAATAAATGCCCTTGCTTAGCTAACAAGGTTCAGAATGAAGAGAGCTGTTTCACTACGGGAGCTGAGGCCAACTCATTCTCACACATCAGATTGACTTGTAATCAACTTCTAATGTTCTGAACCACCATTTCAGTAGCAAGCACCCTCTGAAACACCAAAACCACTTCTACATGTGTCTTACATTAATATTCAGAACATTATCTTTAACTGTATTGCTAATTGCTTTTAAAAGAAAGCCACTCTTTTAAATGCTTCCCTAGAGTTACAAACTGCATTTCATCACTTTAAAAATTCTAGATTTAACTGCTGCTCATCCCCAAACTTAGCGGTAGCGAGGACGTGAAGAGAAGGAGAAACACCAAGCCTCTTAGGATGCAAGATATCCTTATAGGATATTCTATTTAAGTTCTGGTACACACACATCTCCAAGGTACCCTCTCTCAATAAAAGGGAAAACAGCCACAACCTCAAGGTGACAAATAACACCACAGGGAACAAGCTGTTGGAATCAGCTTTCCCTTACGTTGC